CTGTGTGTGTCTGTGTGTCTCTGTGTGTGTGCATCTGTGCGTATGTGACTGTCTGTGCTTGTCTGTGTGTGTGTGTAACAGAGCCTTCGCGCAGAACTTTTCGCACACCCCTAGATTAGAGCGGCTGCGTGCCGCGCTTCATCTGTGTGTTCAACTGTTTGTGACAGCCTCTGTGTGTCCGTGTGTCTTTGTATCTGCTTGTCTGTGTCTGTATGTCTGTCTGTGTCTTTCTGTGTGGCTGTGTCTGTGTCTGTGTGTATTTCCATGTGCTTACTCACTTCCACACACCTGGCAGGGGAGTTCCCCTGGCCGTTCCTGAAGGTGCTGCCCCTGCCCTGGCTCGGTTCTGAGAAGCAGGCTGGGCCGTTACAGGCAGGTGGAGGTGAGGAGCAGTGCTGGGTGCCAAGGCCAGGGGCACTCTAGGGGGGGGAGGTCACTCCTGTCGGAGCTGTGCGGGGCCCAGGGCACCGTGGGAAGTGCCTTTGGGGGAGACAAACCTTTGGCGTCTTCTTGAGGAGACTCACCCTGGCGTGGGGCTGTTCTTAGCGAGGTGGCAGGAAAATGTCTCCGAGGTGAGAGAGCAAGCGCTCGCCAGGGATACAGAACTGGACAGAGCAAAAAGTCAAGATTTTGCATTCCAACTATCTATAGGAAATAGGGTTTTTTTATTATTTCAAGTTTTCATAAAAATCCATAATTATTGAAATCAAAGTTACAGAAGAAAGTTCGTAACTTTTTATTGATTTTTATTTCCTTTTTCTTTCTTCTCCCCCCACCCCCCACGTTGTTTTTTCCCCTCTGAGAGTTATATCTGACACCAGAGTCCATCAGACAAAGTCCTTACAAACACAGGAGTCCTGAAGACATGGGCTGAATGTTTTCCTGGTATAAAGAAGAAGAGGAGGAGAAAGAGGTGGTGACAGTGCGGGTGCAGTGGGCTTGGACAGGGGTGGAGGATGTGGTGGAAGGAGAGAGGTCGGTATGTTTGTAGCAATGTTTGTTTTTTAATTATTTTTTTAATTTGTCTATTTGTTCTTTTTTTTTAAAAAAAACCCCAAACAAACCACCATTATTATCTGCAAATTGTTGCCTCGTTAAATCATTTTCATGTTGAACTTGCGCGGCGCATCGGCAGAGCTGATGCCTGCATCGGACTTGCGTGGCACGTACTCGATTTCGATGTTGTGCTTGGTGTTGCCTTTCCCCCGGCTCCACAGGAAGAGAAGCACCAGACAGAAGAGCACGACGCCCAGGAAGGAAATGAAGCCCATGGTGGTGGCGATGATGAGAGTCTTGATGTCAAAGGGGAAAGGCACGGTGGCACGCGTGCTGTTGGCATCGCTCTCATTGGGCTGGTTGGAGATGAACGCGAAGGTCTTGTTGGGCTGGTGGGGCCAGTCCGGGGAGTAGCTGCGCACGTGCAGGTGGGCCAGCATGGTGTCGTTGCCACCCGCATTGCTGGCGATGCATAGGTAGGTGCCGTTGTCCTGGATCTGGGCGTAGCGCACCTCCAGCGTGCCATCAGGGAAGACAGTGAGCCGCCCATTGGTTTTGGTAGAGATGAGGTGCTTCCGGGGAGAGAGCCACATGATGGTGGGGGGCGGGTCCCCATCTGCCCGGCAGACAAAATGGACTGTGTGGCCTTCGTCCACAAAGATCTGCTGAGGTTTGCGGTCCCGTATCCGTGCTCGGCGGCACGTGAAGTAGTTGGGCAGGAGGACATCGGGAAAGTCTTTGAACTCCTTGCCCTGGACGAACTCGGGGGTGGAGCAGGTGGGCTGCTGCTTGTTGAAGTTCAACCTCCATCGCCGTCGGAAAACCCAGAGCAGCCGACAGTCGCAGGCCAAGGGGTTGTTGTCGAGGATGAGCGTCTCCAGGTTGCCCACCGAGTGGAAGGCCGACTCCTCCAGGGTGGTCAGCAAATTCCCCGACACGTTCAGGATGCGCAGGTAATTGAGGCCGCGGAAGGCGAAGGGCTCGACCGTGGTGAGCTGCCCTCCCACCAGCTGGATCTCCTGCAGCCTCAGCAGGTCATGGAGCATGGAGCCCTCGATGGTGACAATGGGGTTGTAGGACAGGTTCAGGAACCGGAGGTAAACCAAGTGCCTCACTGACACATACGGGATGGATGTCAGGTTGCAGTGGGTGATGGACAAGGAGGTCAGGTTCAACCCGTAGAGGCAGTTGGACGTCATAGTATCCAGGTAGGGCCAGTGTGAGATCTCGAGGACCTTGAGCCGGTATAGCCTCTTGAACGAGTAATCCCGGATGGTGTTGATGTTCAGGTGGCGCAGCCGCAGCACGATCAAGCCGTGAAGGTGAGACAGGGCCTCTGTGGGGATGGAGGTCAGGTTGCATTTCTCCAAGGTCAGCTGCTCCAGGCTGTTCAGGCCACTGAAGGCCCGGTGGGAGATATAGACAAGGTCGTTGTCCCCCACCTCCAAAGACTTTAGGTTGTACAAGTCCTGGAACATGTAGTCTAGGAGGATCACTATTTTGTTCTCACTAATGTCTAGCTTGGTAAGGTTGCTGAGTCCGGTAAACACCCCCAAGGGGATCAGCTTGAGTCTGTTACTCCTGAGCCCCAGAGTCCTGAGGTTGAAGAGGTTGTTGAAAGCCCCAGGTTCAATGGCACTGATAATGTTCTCATTTAGCTCCAGCTCCTCCAAGTGAGGGTAGTTGGCAAATTCATCCTGGTTGAGCGTCTTGATGCGGTTCTTGCCCAAGTCCAGCAGCCTGGTCTCGGTCGGGATCCCCTCCGGCACGACCATGAACCGCTTCCGGTGGCACAGGACAGCGCGCTCCTGGGCAGAGCACTCGCAGCGCGGCGGGCAGCCCGTGGCGGAGCCGGACAGGATGGATCCCAGCATCAGGAGGAGAATCGGCTGCCAGCAGGCCAGAATTGGGCTGCGCATACTCGCCTCCCCAGCTACCATCCTATCTCTCACCTGCAGGTAACATGGGGGGAGAGAAAGAGCAAGGTCAACGTGAGCAAACAACGGGCACGACTGCAGCAAAAGGTTTACCAACCTGGTAGAGCTGACGGTAAGGCACCACCGAGGTGGAGCAGAGGTTCTCTTTTTCCAGCTGAAATCCAGCTCTTCAGCTAGAAGCCCATCTCTCCTCCCCACCCCCCAACTTTCCACTTGCTGACTGAACGTGCACAGACTTTGAGTGGAAAGCCTCGAGGAATCTGTGTCAGACAGACCTCGCTTCCTCGGCTTCTTAAAAAAAAAAAAAATTAATACTAAACACATCTATCTACATCCTATTTTAAGCTCCTGAAATTATTCAGTTCCCTGAAGATGGAGCCGGAATATAAAGGCTGCTTTGCAAATGCAGAGGAGCTGAGCGTGGGGTCGAGCATCTGGGGGAGCCCTGCCTGGGGTCGTCAGGGAGCGGGAAGCAACAGTAACAGCTCCGTGGGAGCCAGCACCCTTCCGGCACGCTCCCCCCAGGCTCTGCTGCCTGCCCTGGGAGCCCTCCTGGGGGTTATGGTCTGGCGTGGGCCCTGGCCCATCGGCGGGCGGAAGGGAACGCCCGACTTTGCACTGCCTCTGTTGCATTTATTTCCTTGTTGCTCAAGCTGCTATGAGGAATCAAATCACAGGAATATTGAATATTAGCTGTACAGTGACTCTGGACCATGTCTATCTCTGTTGTTACGTGTATGCTCTGCCTTGCTTCCACTAATGCTACTTCTGGCTGTCGCTGAACATACTCAACACATGACTTCCCTTGGCTCCGTTTGTACCCACCATTGCATATCCTGTGCATGACTGTCCCTGCTCCAGCACTAGCTACGGGTCTGGTATCCATGCTGTGCATTACTTCCACTGCGTCACCATTTCATACAGATAGATAAACCCAAGTACAACTTTTATTCCCCCAAAATTATGCAACATTTCTTTGTAAGAGGGAAGGATGAAAGATGATGGACTGGCCATAAAGATGTCCACCAGCACCATCTCGGAAACCACCAGGCCTTGGCACACCAGGCGCTCTGGCTGGTGTGAGGAACCGCTCCCATGGGTTCCTTCTAGCTCCCTGTCCCCCTCCAGC